AATATCTGCCTCCCAGATAAAATGCAGAATACAGTATATAAAAATGGTTAGGATTTGGCAGTTTCCTTCTAGATCAACTTTTCTCAACCAGGGTTCCTCTAGAAGTTCCTAGGGGTTCCATGTGCAAGGAGCAATATCTACCTACCAGATTAAATGCAGAATACAGTATATAAAAATGGTTAGGATTTGGCGGGTTCCTTCTAGATCAACTTTTACTCAACCAGGGTTCCTCCAGAGGTTCCTAGGGGTTCCATGAGCAAGGAGCAATATCTGCCTCCCAAATAAAATGCAGAATACAGTATATAAAAATGATTAGGATTTGGCGGTTTCCTTCTAGATCAACTTTTCTCAACCAGGGTTCCTCTAGAGCAGTGTTTCTCAACTCCAGTCCTCATGGACCCCCAACAGGTCATGTTTTCAGGATTTCCCTCAGATGAAACAGCTGTGGTAATTACTAAGGCAGTGAAACTGATCAAATCACCTGTGCAAAATAATGGAAATCCTGAAAACATGACCTGTTGGGGGTCCATGAGGACTGGAGTTGAGAAACACTGCTCTAGAGGTTCCTAGGGGTTCCATGAGCAAGGAGCAATATCTGCCTCCCAGATAAAATGCAGAATACAGTATATAAAAATGATTAGGATTTGGCGGGTTCCTTCTAGATCAACTTTTCTCAACCAGGGTTCCTCCAGAGGTTCCTAGGGGTTCCATGAGCAAGGAGCAATATCTGCCTACCAGATTAAATGCAGAATACAGTATATAAAAATGGTTAGGATTTGTCGGTTTCCTTCTAGATCAACTTTTCTCAACCAGGGTTCCTCCAGAGGTTCCTAGGGGTTCCATGAGCAAGGAGCAATATCTGCCTCCCAGATAAAATGCAGAATACAGTATATAAAAATGGTTAGGATTTGGCAGTTTCCTTCTAGATCAACTTTTCTCAACCAGGGTTCCTCTAGAGGTTCCTAGGGGTTCCATGAGCAAGGAGCAATATCTGCCTCCCAGATAAAATGCAGAATACAGTATATAAAAATGGTTAGGATTTGGCAGTTTCCTTCTAGATCAACTTTTCTCAACCAGGGTTCCTCCAGAGGTTCCTAGGGGTTCCATGAGCAAGGAGCATATATCTGCCTCCCAGATAAAATGCAGAATACAGTATATAAAAATGGTTAGGATTTGGCGGGTTCCTTCTAGATCAACTTTACTCAACCAGGGTTACTCCAGAGGTTCCTAGGGGTTCCATGAGCAAGGAGCAATATCTGCCTCCCAGAGAAGTTCCCACTGACACCTTTGATCTTTTTAGCCAGCTGTAAGGGGTCATCTTTCCCAATGACCACAAGTATAAGGTGGATTATTCTCCTTGACCCTCACACTAATGTACAGTGAGTCATTTTTAGCAGGGCCCCCCCAGACCAAAACATTATTTCAAGGTTGACAAAGGCTGTTCTAGATTATGGTCATTTAAAGCAAAAGAGGAGCTATAATACCTACTGGTCTGGTGGGTGTTGACTCTTATCCTCACTCTCTTGGAAGAACTCCAGAATCTTCAGAATCTCCAATGCCTGTGCCCCCATCCCATGCTGTGGTTCCACTCATTGGCCGCTACATTGGTACGGCTTTGCTTACAATAGGGACATTAGGGGAACCACAGCGCATGTTGAGGGACCAGTTATCCAATACAACTGGAAGGGTGTTGGATGGTGAAGATTAGTCAGCCGGTGTAGATCTTCCAGCAAAGATTAAACTCGTTGCCCACCAGACTGGTAAATAGGATAACTCTTCTTTTGCTGGTTACCATTTAAAGAATTTTTCACCATGCCCCTAACACTGGAGTCTTTTACCGCCCTGAGATAGGTTCAGTCTGCAGAACCGAATGGGTAGGAAGCATTTTTTTGGTCACTCTAGGACCACCAGACTGATAAATACGATAACTCTTCTTTTGCTGGATACCTTTTAAAGACTTTTTCACTCTGCCCCTAACACTGGAGAATGTTACAGCCCTGTGATAGGTTCAGTCCGCAGAGTTGAATGGGTAGGAAGCATTTTTTTGGTCTTTAGGACCAGCAGTAGTGCACCTAGCTTTCCACCAAAGCAGAAAAATTGATAAGGCTCATAAGCTACAATGGGCAGGCTAAGAGCATTGCCAGCGTCTTGGTTTCCATATTTCTCATTCTGAAGACAGGTTCAAGTCTGAAGAAGACGTTTTCAGAACATAGTCCTGATTTTTATGCTACACTATATGACCAGGGTTCCTCCAGAGGTTCCTAGGGGTTCCATAAGCAAGGAGCAATATCTGCCTCCCAGATTAAATGCAGAATACAGTATATAAAAATGGTTAGGATTTGGCAGTTTCCTTCTAGATCAAATTTTCTCAACCAGGGTTCCTCTAGAGGTTCCTAGGGGTTCCATGAGCAAGGAGCAATATCTGCCTCCCAGATAAAATGCAGAATACAGTATATAAAAATGATTAGGATTTGGCGGTTTCCTTCTAGATCAACTTTTCTCAACCAGGGTTCCTCCAGAGGTTCCTAGGGGTTCCATGAGCAAGGAGCAATATCTGCCTCCCAGATAAAATGCAGAATACAGTATATAAAAATGATTAGGATTTGGCGGTTTCCTTCTAGATCAACTTTTCTCAACCAGGGTTCCTCCAGAGGTTCCTAGGGGTTCCATGAGCAAGGAGCAATATCTGCCTCCCAGATAAAATGCAGAATACAGTATATAAAAATGATTAGGATTTGGCGGTTTCCTTCTAGATCAACTTTTCTCAACCAGGGTTCCTCCAGAGGTTCCTAGGGGTTCCATGAGCAAGGAGCAATATCTGCCTCCCAGATAAAATGCAGAATACAGTATATAAAAATGATTAGGATTTGGCGGTTTCCTTCTAGATCAACTTTTCTCAACCAGGGTTCCTCCAGAGGTTCCTAGGGGTTCCATGAGCAAGGAGCAATATCTGCCTCCCAGATAAAATGCAGAATACAGTATATAAAAATGATTAGGATTTGGCGGTTTCCTTCTAGATCAACTTTTCTCAACCAGGGTTCTTCCAGAGGTTCCTAGGGGTTCCATGAGCAAGGAGCAATATCTGCCTCCCAGATAAAATGCAGAATACAGTATATAAAAATGATTAGGATTTGGCGGTTTCCTTCTAGATCAACTTTTCTCAACCAGGGTTCCTCCAGAGGCTCCTAGGGGTTCCATGAGCAAGGAGCAATATCTACCTACCAGATTAAATGCAGACCAAAAGTCTCAAGTGAATGGTTAACGTGTCTCCAACGTCTTTGTAGGATGGAGGATTACCAGGACCCTTCACTGGAGACCATGAACATGCGTGCAAGGAGTCCACATACGTTGTGTTATATAGTAGGCCATGTACTAGTTGGGTTTATATCATTTTGGCCATATAGTGTATTGTTTGCCCATCTATTATCTGCACCTACTTTTTTGGAGACTTACCTGTTGGCTGAGCAAAGCTGGGAACTAGTATTTGGCCTAAGAGTCGGAAAATTGCAGGTTCTATCAAAGCCTCCTAGATGGGGTATTTAGCTTTAGTATACATTTCTGTAAAAGTGAATTCATTTATTGTCACCTGTATATACTTGTGTGCATATATGTGTTTCTCCTTCCTGAAATGGCATGCTTACTTGAAGACGATGATTGCATTGGTAGCCATCCGTTCCATTTCAGCCGTTTCTATTGTTTCATGTTTCATTTATGGATCACCTCTCGTTCCATTCTTCTCTCTCTCTTTTTTTTTTTTTTTTAATTGTTATTCTGATTCATTCTTCCATTTCCAACCAACCATGTACTCTTCATTCTCCATTTATCCCAATATAGACCCCAGAGGAGCATTCCACTAACAAGTTTATGTAGCTCCATAATTGAAGACATACAGTAACACCACTCAGTCCCCAAAGGTCCTGACCACGAATGGTGGTGTGATGGAAATAGCCATTTCATGTTATACGGAGGGTTATCGGGGATCCTTGTATGGGAAGTTCCGCTTACATCTGGTACCACTCTATAAATAAACGCCTTTGTGAGGCTGCTTCAAAATTCTATTCCTGTTGCCTGTATATGTCGTTATCATCGAGGGAGAAAGAGTTCTTCATGTACTAGTTGGGATGAATATGTTTAAAATTTCACAATAATTATATAATTGGTGCCATATGGTATGTTCATATGTAATAAGATGCAAATGCAATTGAACATTCGCCAACATGGCTAAATAAAGAACAAGCGCAGGAATAGCATGAGAAACACCTTACGTAAATCTTTGTAAATAGCTCCCAACTGACTCCATTGGACAATGACACTCTGTCTTAAAGGAGAGCTCCAGGCAGATGTAAAATGATTCCTTGCAGTGGGGCAGGCCTCGCACTGCAAGGGTTAATCGCTGGTTCTGTCCAGGGGAGAGGAGAAAGAGTTTTACTTACCTGATCCTCCACTCCTCCAGTAGACAGTGCTCCCCCACGATCTGCAGGTGGGCTGACCCTTCGCATCCTCACGGCCAGTGCAAGGCTATGGATCCTGCTGTGCTCTTGATGACACCATTACTGTAGACCACTAGAGCAGCCTTTCTCAACCAGGGTGTCCAGGCACCCTGGGGTGCCTTGAGGTTTCTTCAGAGGTGCCTTGGCAACATGTCTAAAGAATTGCCCAAAACTTGTATACAAGCCGGCGGGTGGAACAAGCCCGCCTTCTAGTCACACAAAGCCACAGGTTTTCATTGTGCACCATAACAACCTTCTAGCCAACCAATGACATCATCAGTTGATAAGGAGGATGTCAGCTGCCTGCACAGCATCCTAGTTTGACCCTCCCCCACCCCTCTCCATCAGTGCTGGGGTCACATTAGCTCAGTTAGGGAGAAGAGAAACATAGGCATACTAGTCAGTACCAGTGTGCAAAATTGTATTTGCTTTGGAAGATTAAATCCCCTCTAATGTTGGGTGTCCTCCATGTGTGGCTGTTGCTGTTTTATATACAACTATTAGAATAGTTTTTCACAATTTAGAATGAGGCACCCTTTTAAAATTATGGACAGTCTTGAGGCACCCATTTTAGAACGAGGTGCCTCAAGACTGTCCATAATTTTCAAGGGTGCCTCAAGACTGTCCATAATTTTCAAGGGTGCCTCAAGATTGTCCAAAATTTTAAAGGGTGCCTCAGGACTGTCCATAATTTTAAGGGGTGCCTCGGGACTGTCCATAATTTTAAAGGGTGCCTCGGGACTGTCCATAATTTTAGAGAGGGTGCCTCAGGACTGTGCCCATAATTTTCAAGGGTGCCTCAAGACTGTCCATAATGTTAAAGGGTGGTGCCATAATTTTCAAGGGGACTGTCCATAGTTTTCAGGGAGCCTCAAGACTGTCCATAATTTTCAAGGGTGCCTCAAGACTGTCCATAATTTTCAAAGGGTGCCTTGGGATTGCCCATAATTTTCAAGGGGGTGCCTCAAGAATGTCCATAATTTTTTCAAAGGGTGCCTCAAGACTGTCCATAATTTTCAAGGGTGCCTCAAGACTGTCCATAATTTTCAAGGGTGCCTCAAGACTGTCCATAATTTTCAAGGGTGCCTCAAGACTGTCCATAATTTTCAAGGGTTTCCTCAAGACTGGTCCATAATTTTCAAGGGTGTCTTGGGACTGTCCATAATTTTTCAAGAGTGCCTCGGGGACTGTCCATAATTTTCAAGGGTGCCTCAGGACTGTCCATAATTTTCAAGGGTGCCTCTTGGGACTGTCCATAATTTTAAAGGGTGCCTCAAGACTGTCCTTGAATTGTCCATAATTTTCAAGGGTGCCCTCATAGGTTTCAAGGGAGGACTGTCCATAATTTTCAAGGGAGCCTCAAGACTGTCCATAATTTTCAAGGGAGCCTCAAGACTGTCCATAATTTTTAAGGGTCTTGGGACTGTCATAATTTTAAAGAGTGCCTCGGGACTGTCCTAAATTTTCAAGGGAGCCTCAAGACTGTCCATAATTTTCAGGGTGGGATTGCCTCAAGACTGTCATAGGTTTCAAGGGAGCCTCAAGACTGTCCATAAGTTTCAAGGGAGCCTCAAGACTGTCCATAATTTTCAAGGGTGCCTCAAGACTGTCCATAATTTTTCAAGGGTGCCTTGGGACTGTCCATAATTTTAAAGAGTGGGACTTCCTAAATTTTCAATGGAGCCTGTCCATAATTTTCAAGGGTGTCTTGAGACTGTCCATAATTTTCAAGGGAGCCTCAAGACTGTCCATAATTTTCAAGGGAGCCTCAAGACTGTCCATAATTTTTAAGGGTGTCTTGGGACTGTCCATAATTTTAAAGAGTGCCTCGGGACTGTCCTAAATTTTCAAGGGAGCCTCAAGACCGTCCATAATTTTCAAGGGTGTCTTGAGATTGTCCATAATTTTCAAGGGTGCCTCAAGACTGTTCATAGGTTTCAAGGGAGCCTCAAGACTGTCCATAAGTTTCAAGGGAGCCTCAAGACTGTCCATAAGTTTCAAGGGAGCCTCAAGACTGTCCATAAGTTTCAAGGGAGCCTCAAGACTGTCCATAATTTTCAAGGGAGGACTGTCCATAATTTTCAAGGGAGCCTCAAGACTGTCCATAATTTTTTTCCATAATTTTCAAGGGTGCCTTGACTGAAAAAAGGTTGAGAATCACTGCGCTAGAGCATGAGGGTATATTTCCTTTTATTAATTGCAAACAATTAACCCTTACAGCGTGGGCACAGCCCCACTGCCAGGGGTACTTTTTATTTGCCAGTAGTTGGGTTTTAGGAGTACAACTGAGTTTGGGGAAAATAGTTCACCGAGAATGGCTGCCCACTAACAGGCAGGTAGACAGTAGAGCAGTGAATGTCCTCGGACCTCGGGCCAGAGCAGACAGCAGCAGAATCAGTAGATTGATGGTCAGATAAGATGCAGACAAACCAATTGGAAACAAACAGAGTCCAGGTTTGAGATAGGTAGACGAAGCACAAACTGACAGTCGCAGAGATAATGGGCTGATGGTCAGGAGAAGCACAGACAAGCTGAGTACAAACACAGGTCAAACAATTAGGAGAAATAATTCAGAGCGTGAACAGCCAGAAGTCAGAGGCAGATATACCTCTATCCAGGGCATGAACAGGCAAGCTAACCTGTTGATTGGGCGCAGGCTGGGTGTCTAGCAGTCTAATTAAGCCTTCCTGATTAGGGTAGGTGTGTGCTGCAGAGACCTGAGCGAGGCTCACAGCTGATTGTTACAGGAGCATTATTAGATTGCCATAGCACCATCGCAATTCTCTTCAGAATGTTCTCAATCTGCAAATGTAAGAGAGGAATGCTTATGCAGGCCATAGATGGGTCGAAAATCGGCCGATTTTCGGATCGTTAGTGGGCTATTTGTTCAGCCGTTTTTTCGGTATTTTGGCCGTTTTTTTTTTTTAATCGGGAAAGTTGGAAAAAAAAACGGCCGATTTTGCCGATCGGCGATTTTCGCGGCAATAATGGGCTAATCGGCCGATTTTTTACCGATAAAAAATCTGCGCATGAGCAGTGACCTGCAAGAGGAAGACAAAAAGAAGAAAAAGAAGAGAAGAGAAAAGGATGAAGAAGAAGAGGATGATGATGATGAATGAAGAAGAAGAAGAGGATGATGATGATAATGAAAAAGAAGAAGATGAGGAGGATGATGAAGAAGAAGAGGATGATGATGATGAAGAAGAAGAAAGGAGGATGTTGAAGAAGAAGAAGAGGATGATGATGAAGAAGTAGAAGAAGATGAAGAAGAGGATGTTGAAGAAGAAGAGGATGATGATGAAGAAGAGGATGATGATGATGATGAAGAAGAAGAGGATGATGATGATGAAGTAGAAGAAGATGAAGAAGAAGGAGGATGATGATGATGAAGTAGAAGAAGAAGAAGAGGATGATGATGATGAGGACGAAGTAGAAGAAGAAGAGGATGATGATGATGAAGAAAAAGAAAGAAGAAGAAGAGGATGATGATAAAGAAGTAGAAGAAGAGGATGATGATGAAGAAGAAGAAGATGATGATGATGATGAAGAAGTAGAAGAAGAGAGGATGATGATGAAGAAGTAGAAGAAGAGGATGATGATGAAGTAGTAGAAGAAGAGGATGATGATGAAGAAGAAGAAGTAGAAGAAGAAGAGGATGAGTGAAGAAGAAGAGGATGATGATGAAGGGGAAGAAGAAGGATGAAAATAAGAGGAATTCCAGTCCGGCAAAAAGTGTCCCTGCAGAGAGCTCTGCTATTTCTTTGACAGTTCCTTGACATTTACAGCGGTTGCAACATTGTATCTATTTGTTTCCGAATAAAAACATCTGTATCCTAAATGGATACAAATAGATACATTGTTGCAACCTCTGTAAATGTCAAGGAACTGTCAAAGAAATAGCGGAGCTCTCTGCAGGGACACTTTTTGCCGGCTGTAGACGGGATGAAAATCGGCCGATTTTTTTTACCATTGGTGGTAACGTCGGCCACTTGAACGACCGATTTTTCGTTTTTTTAAAAGAAAAATCGGCCGATTTTCGACCCATCTATGGCCTGCATTAGGCCGTGCTTAGCTCCCAGGCTTGGCCTTCCAAATGAGACTAAATGCGGGGGGGGACACTTTTATATTCAGGGTACTTTTTTTAAACACCATTGAAACTTTAGCTACCCTTCATCTGCCACATTTGCCATCAATCATCAGGTAGAGAGTAAACACATAGATCACGTTGACTTTACATCCCAGCGGTAGGTCTGAATTTGCATACAACTTTTCCTTCCATTAATCATCCATCTTTGTGTGGAGTTCCTCTAAACGTTTCGTTTTTCTCCACAATTTGATTAGCTGTTGCCCACACGTGGTTAAACGCTTTCCATATTTTAGTTTCTCAGTGGCTTTGTCTCTGACCTTTTTTTCTTGGTGAAATACAAAGTGGATACGGAGAAATGTGCTTTTTATCATTTTAACTGAACCGTGTTATTTGCAGCGTAGGTCAGCCCAGTAAGGTCATTTATGAAAATGCAAAAATATGGGCCTGCTGCTCTAAATTATATGCTGTGAGTTCCCTAGCCCATAATGTTGGAAAGGAAAAAACAAATAATTCTGCAAATTGCTGACAAACAAAATGAAAAGACGAGTAAGTAGTCAGCCGCCTTCGAAATCGAAATTCAAAGAAGCCCGATTGAAACCAGTTACCAGCAGAGCTCACATAATGAGTTCAATGGCGTTCACCTTTTGTGCATGATCTCAAAATAAACATGCCAGTTTCTGGAAGGCTCCGGAGTTCATTATTGAGTCTGACTAAGCAAACAGCATCATGAAAACCAAACAACGATCAAATCAGGCCGGGGATAATGTGACGGAGGACCAATCAGGGTTGGGTTATACTTATTCCAAATCTTGGACGTCTCCTAGGGCATTGGTATAGTTCCTCTGAGCTAAAAAAAAAATGGAAGATTTGCTTTGCTAGAGGGAACCTCTAGAAACTGAAATTGTACCTAAGCAGTAACCTAAAAAAAAAATGAAACGCCTATCACTGCAGTTCTTGACATGTGACTGTGCCACGGCTTCCTGATATCTGTACATTTCCAATGTCCAGGTACTCCTGTTCTCTAGCCTCATAGATGTAGGGTGAGATCATCTAAGGCACTGCTGCCTCCACCAGATTTGAAATGGAATTTCACTGTGCTGCTCACTGTTCTCCTTGCTGGAGAGGAAGCTGCACTGAGGACCTGCCATGCAACGATCTCCCTGCTTCTGCTTCATCCATTCTGTGAATCTGTGTTTCCTCCACCTCTATCATTACCCCACTAGTCAACAGAGAACCAGTAATCTAGGGGGCATCTCTGACATGAGGAAGAACAGCCCTGCTCCTTTCCCAAGATAGCCACCTCCACACAGTGCAGCACAAGGCAAGGTGTCATACTAACGTGGAAAAGATCAGCTGCAGAGAGTCCATAGACAATACTGGCGACTCGCTCTCTGCCCTCTTCTTGCCATTTGAGGTACAGCTTCCACAGTACAGGTCCTCTTTAAATCCATTATGAAAAAAGTAAAGAATATGGCACCACCATGACATGGTTAGAGAAGGCCATTCACAAAACTCAGCAAGTAAGGAGGGCAATAGCAAAGCAACCAGTTTTCCATTGCTAATTCTGAAGGAATCCTTGATTCGGTGTTGAGATGAACAATATTTCAAAGCTTTCAAAGTTCTTGAAACACTGTGGCCCATTGGCATCATAGTGTATCTTATTGAAAAGGTGAACTTAGCCTTTAAAGGCGATAGATGTTGGATCTTTGACTCAAAAAAAAAAAGTCATACGCTCATAAAGGGTTCCACAGGGCACGCTGTGCTATCCAACCACATTCTGGCATTTTCATAACTGACCTTTACTCTTCACGGTGCCCCATTGTAGACTGTGTTCATATTATTTGCCATATTCTATGCATTTAAAGGACCATGTGGACTAAAATTTGTTGACAGCTGACCATCACACCTATTAGATGGCCAAAAGTATGTGGGCCCCCCAGCTAAGTTATTGAGTTCAGCATACAAAGACATTGTAGTCAGTTGTGCTCCTCCAACCTTCTGGTAACAGTTTTTTGGTGAAGACCCTTTTCTGACCCTTTTTAGCATGACTGTGCCTCGTGTACAGAGCCAGCTCCATAAAGA